ATAACCAATGGACACAGACACTGGGGCGGTGGGGGCTTGCCCTCTGGGGTGGGAGTGGCGGGGGGGGGGTCAATTGGGGAAAAAGCCCAAAAAAAAACCCAAAACAGAACAAAACCCTTCTGTGGCTTCCTTTTGCTTCTAGATAGAATCCAAACTCCCCAACTAGTTGCATAGGCTCCATATGGCCTGAATCCTGCTGATGGCTCCAGTTTCATGGGTGAACACAGCCACAGGTCTCTACACTCTAGGAGCACGCAACTATACTCTTTGGGGCTCTCACTTTTATACAAGCTTATTCCTCTGCCTGCAATTCTCCCTCACAACACTCCCTATCCTTCCATGGAAAATCCTTCTTAGCCCTATAGGGGCTTACCCTGAACCTACAAAGTTGACCAGGTGCCATTTCTGGGCTCCTACAGCTCCCTGGGATCCCCATTCTGGCTATGACCCCTCGGCCTGGGTCCCCCACCCAAGCCCTGACCCCTCTTCCTGCGCCCTCCATTCTCACCCTGACCCTCTGCCTGTGCCTTCTCCTCCTAGCACTGTCCATTCTGAGCTGTCACTTTCTTGTTACTAATCGGTCTCCCACTGGAGTGAAAGCCCCATGAGTTCAGGGCTCAGGACTGTCTTGGTCACCCTTGGGTCCTCAGTCTCATCCAGCACAGGCTGGCAAAAGTGGTGGTTCAGTGAGCACTGGTTCAATGGCTGCTAAATGTGTTGAGTGGCTTACAAGTCTGGTGTGTGTGTGTGTGTGTGTGTGTGTGTGTGTGTGTGTGTGTGTATGTGTGTGGTGTGTGGTGTGTGGTGTGTGGTGTGTGTATGGGGTCACTATGGGAAAGAGTTTTCAGAGAGGATATTTAAGTTGATCCAATGAGAATGACCTACCTCGAAATGCTCTCAACACACACCTATCTTGTGGAGGCTTTTTCTACTTAGTGTGACCCTTGAAAATGGAGGGAGGTAAATACTCTGAAAAATAAGGGAACTACTTGTTTTTTTTAAGAAGGGACAGGGAGCTGTGCCAGGGCAGTGATTGATTCCAACCATAATAGGCACAAGCCGATCTCAGATGCTCACATGCATATAGTGTGGCCCACGTGCCTACATACTATACTAGAATGCACACAAACACATCCATACACTCATATATAGTCAGCTGTTGTACATATGTACACATAGATATGAATACATCAGGTTGGACACTGAGACACACATGTAGACATCACCCAAAAGGCATACCCCAAAGCATGTACTCATGCTACCTACAGACAGACACAGAGATTGGCATGCACTCAGGCACACTGGCAAAGACACACACATACCCTGTCATGCAACTAGATATGCACATATGAGCATAAACAGGTATGCATACCAATTTATGCACCAATACCCCACCTCTCAAAGACAGGTGTGGGCATGAATTTATCAATATGGACAAACTGACGCATACACGCACACACACATTCACAGACACCCCAAGCATGTACCCAGAATGACACACATATGCAGGTGTATAAATAAGGATAAACATGGCAGAGGCATCTAGGAGAACCCACTGGATAAAATGACACAAATACGAAGAGATCCAGATCCAGCACACACAGGGCTAAGGGGCAGGCTGACTTACAGGGAAGGAGAAAGAGAAAGTCAGAGACAAGGGGATTGAGATAGAGGAGGACAGAGAGGAACGTCCTGTGCAGGGCTCCTTGCCCACCCAGAACATCCCGAGGCTCTAGCCCTGACCCACCCTCTTCAGAAACTGCTTAATCCACCATCTCTCCCCGAGGCCACCCAGAAGATCAGGTTCTTATTCAGACTTGGCTGCATGGAGGAAGAAATGGGGAAGGAGGTCCCCCAAAACTTTCTCTCTCTTCCTCCTTTCCCAAAGGAAAAGCTGTGGGAACTTTAGACCTGAAAATGTAAAAGCCAGAAGGGGATTTAGTGAACCTCTCTTCTATCTCTTTTCCTCCATGGATTAATAGCAAGAACAGCTAATATTTATTGAGTGTTTACTGCTATGTATATCACACACATTAACCCATCGACTCCTCACCAAAATGCCAAAGGGTTGGGTACTGTTATTGGCAGCATAGGCTCAGAAAGGTTAGGTTACCCATTCAAGGTCACACATTGAAGAAAGGATAAGGTTAGGATTCCAATCCATGTCTCAATCTTGCTCTTAACCATTGTCCCATCCATCCAGAAAGGAAAACTGAGGCCCAGTGAGGGGAAGAGATTTTCCTGGATTCAGCACAAGCTCTCTTCTGAAGCCTATCCTGGCCACCGCACACGGGCACGTGTCCTGCCTCTGGGAGGTAAGGCCTGTGATGTCAGACACTGATCTCTCACTCCATGTTCCAGGGTCAGAGACGTGACCTCAAGTACTTTTCCCAGTCTTGACCCCTCACACCCTCCCCACCCAGCTGTCTGTCTAAACATTCAGGGCCCTTTCTTATGCCAACTTCATTGAGAAACAAACTCCTCAAAGTCCTACCTCCTTCCTTCTCAAGGAACAAGGAACAAGGGTGGAAAGAGGGGCCCAGGCTTGAGGCCAGCCCAGGTGCAGGAATGGAAACTAGACTTTTGGTGGTAAGAATGCAATCCAGTATATAGATATCAGTATATAGAATGTTATACACATTCAATTATATAATGTTGCTAACCAATGTTACTTCATTTTGTAAAAAGACAAAAAAAAAAATTAGGAGATTTCTACCTACCAAACCCTTGCTAATCCTCCTTTTCTCAACAAAACCAACAAATAACTTTCCTCTCTCTGCTTCATTCTCCACCCTTTTTTTCCCTCCCTACAGGTCTCATAGCTCAGGGGCCTACAATGTTTTGAGCAGCATGCCCGTCCTCAGAGTGCCAGC